TATAACTATATTTTCTAGCTCAGAAGACTTTCAAGTAGAATACGGAAAGTGCCACCAACGCCTTCTCTCTGGTCATGAAAAATCCCAAACAAGAGAGATGAGCTTAAGAACAAACTGTCCAGTTTCCAAGCAAAATTTGGAGCTTGAAATTAAAACTCTTCTCCTTCCCAGGCTCTCCAGATGGCAAGAGATTCTCAAAGTAAGAAACGGACTCAGGGAGGAAAAATATAGGTCACTGTCAGGAAAAGATGATCTAAAGATGAAGCCAAGGACTCAACTTCAGGAACTGTTAAGACTTCAAATACTTTTAAAGTGGTGCCCTTCAAACCTTTCCAAACAGATAAAAAGTTTCTAAGGACATTAAGGTTGTGCCTCATAAACCTTCTCTGTTCAGTAACAGAGCATCTAAGAGTGTTATGAGCATTGTTCTACAAAGCCTCACAGTAGACAAAGGCTCATATTAAAGAAACCCTGGGTATAGTTTTGTCTAATGGAATGCATGTAATTGGATACACAAAAAGTCCAAATTTAAAAAAAAAAAATAATTATACATGGGGATGCCTGGGTGCCTCAGCTAAGTGTCTACCTTTAGCTTAGGTCATGATCCTAGAGTCCTGTGATGGAGCCCCAATTCAGGTACCCTGCTCAGTGGGGAGTCTGCTTATTCCTCTGCCCCTCACCCCACTTGTGCTCTCTCTTGTGCTCTCTCACTCTCAAATAAATAAAATCTCTTTTAAAAAATAATAATTATGTCTGTTTTGACTTAAAGCAACAGAACCAATGCAAAATAATAATAATAATAATAATAATAAGCCTTTGGACCCTTAATTTTTTACAGATAGGAAGCAAGCAGAGAAGGCTATTCCATGGCAAACACAAACTAATTTTTAATTACAAAAGAAAAGATGCCTTAAAAGGCAAAACTAAGAACCCAAGTGATGGTGCCAAGTGCCAGGAAGGAAGAAAGGACAATTTATATGGGACAGTATTAAGCCAAAATTTTAAAATTGCCAACATGTGCCCACTTGGATTTCAGAACTGCTATGGGCCAACAACTGCTATGTCCTCCCATTTTCTCCATTCTTGAATGGAAAGTCCTTTTGAAATAATCATATTCCCAGCTCAGCATCATCTGTTGTGGGAGAGAAGATAGATAACATGTCCCTTTAGTTAACAGGTCTTCAGAGCAAGAGAACCATGTCCAAGAAATGAAATCCAAATAGTCTCATCCGCACCTAGAGCTAAATCAGATGGTGAGATCCTGGATCTCAGACTTCAGCCTGATGTTGTAATGCAGTTAGACCTACTGGTGAGTATATTTTGTATGTGAGATCAATGTAAATAATTTGCGGCCTGAGAGAAGATGTACTGATTTGAAAACACATCCGCAAATTCACCGACACTCCCTGATCAAGAAGTGGGATAAATGCCCTCCTCCGGCAATTCTGAACCAGCCTTAATGACTTACTTGTAACCAGGAGCAGAAGTGATGATGTTTATGACCATAATAACCACACACTATGTCTGTAGATACCCCATAGATATCCCTACCTTTGTCTTTTCTTAGTAACATTTCCCACCAAGGACTATATGCATACATCATCTGCTTTTCTAAGACCAAACCATCATTCGGGGTCTTAGTAAATCCCATCTACTCCATAAAGCATATCATTAGACTCCAGCCTTAGCAATTTCTCCCTCTTCTAAATGGTTTTGAATTTATTTTCTACAACTTTCATTTCACAATTAGTGAATGCCAGTATCACTAAGACATAATGAGTGAATTCATTGCTTTTCTAACACAGATTCCTTGGCTACGCTCTTGAATTATGTGTCCCTAGAATCCAAATGCTTACAGAATGAAAGCAAGTAATACACAACAGTAAATCTGACATGGTGTAAAAGAAAAAAGTGGTCTGAATTAGGTTACACTAGGAAGCAATTGTTTCATGTAAATGGGTCAGCCACCACCCAGCTACAGGACACTGATTTTCTTCATAGCAAATATTACCACCTGATATACATTTATTTGTTTATTGTCACTCTCTCCTCATGAGAATTTAAGTTCCCTGAGAGTAGAGTTGTTGCTTTGTTGGCTGCTATATCACCAGAGCCTAGAACAATACCTGACACTCAATAAGTATTTGCTGAAGGAATAAATGAATGACCAATTGTTGCCACATGGGAATGTGAGCCCAATGTCACAAGTTCTTCCCATTTTTCAAGAGAAGCCAGAAATAAATAATTTTATGTGCAATCTCTCAATTTCTAAATATTGACAATTAATTACAAAAGTATTAAGCCATTTTAGGAATGGGTAAACAAAATAGGTCTCCCAACTTGGATTCCACCTGAAAGAGGCACATGCAATTGCTGTACTAGAAGGATCTGAGAGTTTTTTACCTAATTACTTAGAATCGTGCCTAGCAAAGTGCAGAAAACTTGAGAAGTAAATGACGATGCTTCAAATGCACACACTTGAGGCACTATTAGGATTCAGCTGCAAATTACTAAGATGCTACTCTAGTTATGCTCTTACAGCTCAACGAAAACTTCAGCTTCTGCTCCAACATGACCACCTGGACTTCACAAGACTGTCCCCAGCCCCAAGATCCTAAGGCTAAACTTCCACTCCTTCCAGCTGTTAAGAGTTCAGAAATGTGATTCCTATGTGCTCCTCCCCAGTAATAAAGAGGAAACGTGATGGAAATAAAAACAGATTGGATATCCAAGGTGACCAAAAAAAAAAAAAAAAAAAAAAGAACCAGGTTTTAAACTGTATTTCCACAATTGATAAATAAGGGCTCCCAGGGGCAATTTTGTTTTCCTTTTTATTATCCTTAGCATTTTTAGATTATATCATCTAAGATTTTATTTCAGTTGACCTTTCGATATTCTCTGGTAGCATGTTTTATCTTTTCTACATAAAAATTATTAAGGAGGAATTTTAAAATATTTACTAACTACTTGGATTCTTAACCCTAATAAAAGTCACATCTAATAATTAGAGTGTGTCTGGATTTAAATATAGGTCACTTAGCAACAAGCTTAATTGTGTAGGGCTGAGAACACCTTTAAGATGCTTTAAAGAAAACATACTAGAAAAAGCACTTCCAGTGAGCCCCATGCTGCAAGTTGATGCACAGCAAGCCAGTCATCAACTTTTGAAGACGTCAGAGTAAATGAGATGTCTTGGTGTTCCTTTTCTGTGTGTGGTCCAACATGTATAGCCTTGAAGTATCCATAGGAGACATCAACAAACATCAGAGGAACTCAACATATCAAATGAGTACAAGTCCAGAAGAGCAAAATATCTTCTGGCCCTCCATAGCCAGCATTTAGGACCTAATTTTAATGATTATATAGATTAATTCATTATACACAGTTCTTCAATAATGGCATTAATTTTTTATGCAGGCAGATTCTACTTTTTAAATAGGTGCCACAGTGATTTAAATTGAAAGTAACACTGAGAAAATGTGTTGATCCAAACCTATTTTTCAAAATTTAGGTGGTTTTGGACCTATGAACTTCTTACAGAATAAGAATATAGATTTCTGTTAACTCCTTTTGTTATGTTTGAGCAATGCTGAATACAATGGCCCCGGACAGGGAGAACCAGTACTTGAATTCTTTTACAGACATACAGCTGAAACGATGAAACAGAGTTCCCAGGGCACATGGCAGGAAAAAGCCCAAAATTTGGAATCAGACCAACGAAGTTTGTCTTGCAGCTCTACCATTTAACTTTTTGACTCTGGGTAAGTTACTTAATCACTTTAAACCTCAATTTACTTTATTCATCTGGAAAAACAGAATCATAATACCTTACTTTAGGGGCAACATAAAAATTAAAATAGATACATATTTATTGTGTAAGTCATTGAAATGAGGAGGAAGTTGTTAACTCAGCATGACGTGACCTGACCTGACTAGTGCCAATACAATAAACAGCATGCAAAAAATGCTTGGAACACCATGCTGTCACAAATGATAGTTATCACAGAATGTCCAATTGCATCTTATTGTAAATTAAATGCAGAGCACGTCTTCTCTAGGCGTCCTATATATCATGCTCCCCTAAGAATGTATTTCTATACACTTTGGCATTACGGGCTAAGAGAAGCTTTATAACCCTACAGAAATTCTAGCACACTGGCAGATGAACTCATGGACAAAAATACTCATTGAGCATTATTGTTAATCAGAAAAATTAAAATGGTTATCTATAGGAAGATAACAGATTTTGATATCTTCACTCAAACCATTCTATTCAGATAAACCACAAAAACATAATTTAAATCAAAAATTAAAATGAAATAACTCAGAGAACGATATCTATAATATAAATCACTTGTGAAATTTTAAAGCACAGCATCTATTATAGAAATATACATACACACACACTTGGTAATTGTATGATAATATGCACAGAAATGGCAAACATCAAATTCCGGACAATAGTTATCTCTAGAGGAAGAGGTAAGACAATGAGATCAGGCAGGTGCACACAGAGGGCTTCAATTCTATCCAGTGTCTTTTACTTTCTCAAAAACTAAATTAGACTAGAGCAAAGATGGTAAAATGTTTAGATTCTCTAGAGCTGGCTTGTAGGCTTGTGGAGTTTATTACATTATTCTCTACATTTTCTGGACATTTGAAATATTTCACTATAAAGAGATGCAGCTTTCCCAGTCCCATAAATAAAAAACAATTTCTCAAAGCAGACAACAGTTGTTTCAGAAATACTCAGGAGCTAAAGAGGGATGGGGATGCTGGGGACGGAGGAGGTAGTGAAAGGGACAAGAGGGGTGGGTATGGAAAAGACACTCCTCTTTGACTCTAGAAACCAGGAAAATAATTTCCCGCCAAGGGTTAACAAAAGAATTTAGTTATGCACGTCTTGAAGAGGATAAAAATGATTCATTCTTAATCCAGAAATAAGATTACTATACAATGCGTACATTATCTAAAAACATATTTAAGTTTAAAATACTTACTGCAACCCCACTCTTGGTGGTAGTTTCTCTGTATGTGAAGTTGCAGATCGCCCAGGCTAAATAATATGTAGACATGAGAGGGGTCTGTGAAAAGTGATCCGTAACCCATCCATCTTCCTCAAACACAGAAGTTTCCAATGGCATATTGGATAAAGATAAATAGGTTGCTTGATGCTTGATGCTAATTTTGAAAGTAGCCTTGTAGATCGGCTCGTCAAAACAAGGAAATGCCTTTCTGGCATGGGTAGGTGAAAACTGAGTGACACCAAGGAATCTGGAAAACAGAAAATGACATTCTCAATTACTTTTATGGCTTGATAAGTTATGACCATTTTACATGCTTCTGCCGATAAAATAACGTATTTTGCCAAATTGCAAGGTCGTTTCTTCTGTGCCAAACTTAGGTGCATGAATAGCATGAAAGTATAATTTGTATGTATTTCCCCAACAATAAAAATTCTTTGGGGAAGTTTTTATCTCAAATTAAAGTAATCCTCTAAACCCAGACCAGTGCTTTTTAGACAAAACATTACACTTTACAGAAAAACAATTCATCAGCATCCCATTGGCAAACACTGGAAAACAATAGTTCTCCTTTTTGGTATGCCCTCACTTTCCCCTCTAAATGTATATAAGTTAATGAAACTAAAATCCAAAAGATGTCATCAGATACATGTAGAATATAGACCATCAGTGGGAAACATCTGTGCCCTCAAATTTCAGCTAGATGTGATCTGATTTTGTTAAGGACTTTGAAACCTGACAAACGTTGGTCTAAATTCTGTCTTTGCAACATTCTCAGCCATATCATCTTGGATGACTACTAAATTTCCGTAAGGTTTAGGTGTTCATTGCTTGAAAGGAAATAATCAAGCCTAACTTTTAAAAAGTACTATAAAGCTTAGTGGGGAGAAAGGATACAAAGCACGTATCACTGTGAAAGATGAAAAGCAACCATCGGGAAGTTAAGAAATGGCGGCCACTGGTTCACAATGTCTTTAACTTTTCTTGGAATGATTTAACACATGTTTATATTGACTAATCCAGAGACTATCAGTCTTACGACTCACAATACATATTTATCATACAAATTGTAACTTTAGTATTATTGTGTTAATATAATACAGGTAATTTTACATAATTAATATATAATAAACATGTCAATGTAGATATAGGTGTATATGTTTCTATTAAGTATATTTAATGCCTTCAAGTTTTCAGATCAAGCCGCAACATTGCATTTCATTAAAACTAGCTAGAAACAACCTCTTCATTCTTCCACAGTTATTACAAATGAAAATACTCAAACACCCTTTTAACTTGAAAAAGAAGCCATCATTTATGAAAACATTCATGATAGAAATCAATTTAAACTTTTCTGATAATATTAGTTACAAAACTCAATACAAGTTCAACATCAGACCTTTCATAAAACATGACTGAGCACTGAAGTCATTTCTTTAAAAGACTCTTTCCCCCAGAAGTAGTTCTGCCACCACTCCCCTCTTCATCACCCACAATGTTCCTGGTTAATCTAACATGGCACCCTTTCCCACTGAGCTCAAACCTGGCCTCAAAATTATCATCAGCATAACACTTGAGGCAGCTGCTACCAATCAATAGGAGTTGACATATACATTGAATCTTACTGGCTATCCCTGGCTCATACCATCAGATGTAAATGCTTATACCTTTTTAACATTATGAAGCTTACATTTATCCTTGAGAGTCTACTTTTTTAAAAGTTCATTTTGAAACAGAGAAAAATAAGACATTCTAAAGATTAACTGTATACTTACTCTTGGAAAGAGGATTTTGGGGAGTTATCTTGAAAAGAGTACTGGGTTGCCACATACCAGGCTTGGGTAACGGCTAGAGCCTATCTTTTCATTAGTAGAAAGAAAATAATAATGCTTTCTATGCTTTCCTTCCAAAGCTGTCGAGATGATAAAATGATATAATATATGGGAAAGAAGTCTTAACTACAAATCTTCAGACAAATAAAAGGTTAAAGTTGGAAGCAATCTTAGGAATAAACTGTCCTCTCTCATAAATTTCTAAAATGGAAAAGTAATTCCAGTAGGGTTAAGTGATTTGTCCAAAGTTACACTAGCAATTAGCACAAAGCTGGGTCTAGAAGTCAGTTTCTGCATCTGAGTAAAAAGTTATTATATTTCAAGAACAGTAAAATAATCTTTAGCCATAATTTATAAACAATGTTTTAATTTGACTATTGGTAATAAAGGTTCTTCTTCCCAAAAATGCCAGTACCATGATAATATTTTTCCTTATGATTTTCTATTGATAGTAATATAGTTTTATTTAACGAGAGGTCAGTTTAATAAAATGTCCTTTCAGTTAAAAAGTACCCATTTACAATTTTCTCTTCACATGCTCTTGTCTTCCATAATGTTTTTGAATCTCATCTTTCCATCTCATTAATTGAAATGTCCACTGAGCTTGATATTTCTTTCCTGAGCTCTTTAAAAGTTACCTGCAGGATTCCATATATGGGTAAAGAGTGTTCCTTTTTAATTTTCAAGTGTCTGAGAACTCCAGTTTCACCACTGACAGACATCTGCTGTGTGTGAGCTTTTTAGGTACATGGTAGGATTTTTTTTTAAGATATGACCTTTTTTGTTCTTAAGGTCATGATAAGGTAGACGACTAATAATACTGGGTAAAAGGCTCTGCAAGAGTTCAACAGAAGGTTTGCAATTAGAATGTATTAGTCATTAAGTAAAAATCAAAGGTATCTTTGGCATTAAGTAATTAGTGGGTAGGAATTTATTAGATATAGAAGATTTAATACATCTGGGTTAATGAGAAATTCATAAACCAAATATTTACGCAGAAGAATCATGTTGTGTACTCTCTTTTTGCCTTATATAGTAAGTAAATATGTTAGTAAAGCTAGCAATTTAAATCACTGATTCTCAGGGTTGAAAGGAATATAAAGACCACCTAGTGCCTTTTTCTGCAATTAATATTCTTAATGAATTCACACACACAGTATATATCTATGCACAGAGGGCCACCATATATTCTGATAATATCTAAATGAGGAAATACCAATTTCACAGTCTGGCAACTGAGGACGATTGCAATTGAATTTCAATTCGGTATTTAGGAAATCAAAAGAAGTCCCTTGGTAAAGAAGAGTGGTTGGACTAGATTACTTTTTAGGTCTTTTCCAAGCTCAAGATCCTATAACTGAACAAAACTGAGAAATAAAATATTCCCTGAACTTGATGAGATTTTTTCTTGAATATTAAATTACACTACCGCTAAATAGCTTTTTACTACAAGCTCTGTTGCACATTTGTTTCTCTTAATCATCATTCTTGAGTGCTCAACACTGAGGAGAAAAAGATAAATATATATGCTTCCTTCCCTCAAGGAGTTTATACTCTAGTAAAAGAAATTAAACAAATACCTAACCAGGTATTCTACAAAAAGCCATGACAAAAAAGGAAAACGTATAAAGACATTACATTCTCCCGAAGCAAGACTTCTCAGTTTCCGCACTACTGACATTTTAGATTGGATAAATATTCTTTGTTGGGGGCTGACCAGTGTCCTGTAGGATGTGTAGCAGCATCCCGGGGCCCTTACCACTAGAGGCCAGTAACACTTTCCACCCCATCTATGACAACCTAAAGGAGGGGCATGGCAAATACTCAGTTGAGAGCCACCTGCCTTGGGAGCGGAAGAGACTTCACAGAGAAAGAAACATAACAATTGGTCTGAAAGCCTGGGTAGTATTTTAAAGGTCAGAAGCAGATGAATAAGTAAGGCAGTTGACTCCACGTAGCACAGAAATAAGCCTTTAAAAGAGTGTTGACTCACTTATTAAGTTAGTGTTCCGACTGGCCTCTCATGGATTCTGGCTTTAACAGGTCTCAGCATTGCCTGTCCGTCTCTAACACCTCTCTTACCCTCGGTACTCCTCTGTCTAACAAAGAGACCTAGTTCAAGGCTCTGTCCCCTCAAGATGCAACAGTGTCTGCTGGATTTTAAAAATATCATTCTGCCTTCATCGTTGCCTTATTAGGGTTGCCTTCAGTTGGTGGAAGTGAGACTTCTTTTCTGTTTACTGTCATCCCAAACATCAAAGAAGCCTCTAAACAAGGTGACTTGGAGTAGAAAGTAATGAATTTGGGTTCTGAGTAAAGTCAAAGTAAGTCTGAAGTGGTAGCAGGACACCAGATAGAAGAAATACAAAACATTAATTAAAAATAGAAACATTTTCATATATAGTATGGATATGAAATACACACGTAAATGCAGCAAGTAATATAAAACAGCAGGAGGCAGAAGGTAATCGGGACAAGTATTTCAATTTCTGTTTTTCTCCTGCTTTTTAAACAAAATCATTTTTATCTTTTAATGAATCTCTCTATTACCATAAAAAATGCTACATCCAAAAGTGACATCCTAGAAGTGTCATTCCAAGAATGTCACTTTAGCATAACTAGAAAAACAGAAATAATATACATGTATTTTAATTCTCTTCTATCTAAAATAAATTACTTTATTTCTTAACAACTTGCCTATTTGACATTTTGGTTGAGCTAAGAAGGAGGGCGTAAAGCTCTGTGTTGCCTCTGAAGGATACAGAGAATTGATTTCTTCTTATTTCTGCGGAAGTTCACTAGGCAAGCTACTTGTGTCAAGTCATTATGATAAGATCCAGCAGAAGTAATGCATTAATGTTGGCTGATATTGCCAACAAATTACTGTATGTGATACAAAACAATTTCTGTTCCATTATTTTCAGTTCGCCTTTTCGTAAAGTTAAAATATGCATAGGAAACCAACATGTGCATGACTCTGTTAGCATTCAGATTGATTTGTGACTTTTCATTGTGGAACCCACCCAAACCAAGAGAACCTCACAAATGGCATGCCCTATTCAAGAGGTTTCCGCCTGGACCACATCTTTGCACACCACACATAAAGCAGAGAGAATGATCTTTGAGTTTCCTTCTACCTCAATTGCAATTTGCCCAGTGTTGCCATAGTTTCTGACTCTTAATGAAAACTCCCAAGACCTAAAGAAAAGTTCCAGTGGAACTATTCCACTGTTTGCAGTAGATGGACTCAGTTACAAGGTCATGGAAGTTACACATGTCCCATTTAAAGTTAAGGTTGTTAATCAAAATGCAAATTATTACTCAATGACAAAACATTTTAAGCTAAAACGGGTCGTTGTTTAGACTGTGTGTTTTTATGTACTTCAATGAGTCATTAAACCTCTGCCATTTCAGAAGA